AGGGGTCTGTGAAGACCCTGGACATATAAGCCAGGATACGTGGATATAAGCTATTTCTCTGGAGAAGGCTCAAAGATTTCATCCTGTATTTAAAGGCATTCATGATCCAGGAAAGATGAAGAAATAGTTTTAAAAAATCCTTAAAAAAAGGTTCTATACTGATGATGTTACAATTAACTTTTTTTTTTCCAGCCAAGGAAATACCATATGTATTTCAGGAAAATATAAAAAAATACTTCAAGAGCTAAGATGGTAAGGTACCCTACTTGTCTAATTCAAATTGATAGCTTTTCTTGGACCAACCTTTATTAATATCAGAACATTTTATATACGTATGAATTTTTAGGAAAAAAAATCGTTCAAACTCCCTTTTCTATGAAGATACTACATTTTATCAAATGCCTGTTTTTTTCATTTTACCAAGACATTTAGCTAAAGTATAAGAATGGAAACAGATGGTTCATGTTTTATAAAACTAAGAAATTTAGGAGAAATTTAACTTATCATCTTGAGGCATAAACATGACTGCGTTTTAAAATTTAAAAAATCCTTTTCAGCTCCAAATCCCATTGGATAGGGTCAAACTCCAATGTCAAACTCAATTCTATAGTGAAGATGCTTGTAGGGGTCATCAATGAAACTCCAATCAGTAGACTCATGCTCAAAGAACAGGCCTCAGTTTTGTACCAAGAGATCAGGGCTGAAGTGTGCATTTCTTAATGTATTAAGCTTAAATAAAATATTTAAGGTTGGGATACATCCCTTTAGGTGAGTTTTTGTCACTTGAATAAGAGGATGCTGACTCACTGCCATCTTTGAAAAGCCAGCTCGGGGGCAGACCATGTAGTAAAATGGATACAAAACATAAGGCAGTTCATAAACCTTAGTGCACAGTGCATAGTGACTATGAAATACGGGATTTGGTGTGATCACCTTATCTTCTTCCCTTTAAAGTGAGGAGGTGAGTAAGATACTATTGTATGTTACTGTATGATTACTATGTAAATGTCCTCTTAGAGTGAACTCTTGATAATTAGGGACCAAGGCTTAATCATTTTATATCCCCTAGCATCACCCAGACCACCAGGGTGGTGATAGAATACAAGTGTGTTGAATGAATAATGAATTCATTTAGCACATGGAGATTTTTGTCTAATTCAAAGCACTTTTGAATTGCGTATATCCATTATATGATTATTATATGCTTCAGACAACTTAAACTCACAGCATGAAGCTGTGTATATGCCAAAGGTCTGCTCTAATTCTGTGTGAATGCACTGTGTGGCACTGGGTTGCCTTGCAAACAGACTTCTCACTTGACTTTCATCTGTAAGGAATGTGGGTTGACTCACAGGTTACAATTGGTCCAATAAATATTTCACTCAAGGGCGACCATAGTTCCTTGAAGAAGACAAAAGGAAGAGTTAAGTTGTTTAAAATCCAGGGACTGGATCTAGAAAGCAGAAAGATTGGACAACTGGAGTGATGCCTGCCTACATTTTCACTTCCCTCCTGCCAAATACACTTCCTGACCCAGTCTTGGGAGGGTAAGGTGAGCACAGTATTAGCCTCAATCTTCAAGATCTGACTTTTTTTTTTTTTTTAAGCAATGAATGTTAGTCCTGCAAAATGTCAATAGAAAGAACTACTGGTAGGGAATCACTAGGAGAAAAATAACCTTCACAGCTAGCTGGGTCATATCTTTCTTCCTCAAGGCACGATTTAGATAAAATAAACCAACGCTTTCTTAAGCCAAGGAAGTTTCTTTAAAACCATTGTAAGATAGTTTTCTAGTTTTTCTTTACAATGTTCTCATCCCTCTCAAGTCAATTATAACATCTAACTTTACATTTTGGCTACTATAATTTTCAGACCATTCATTTCACCATTTCCCCCCCTTAGGAGGAGGCAACACTTAAGAAATCTCTTTTCAAATAGTTTCACTGTAATTTCCATCTTCTCTCCTGCACCCAACTTCAACTCGATTTTTTTAGCCTTCTTCATATGACCTATTTCTAGGATATTTGATTATTTTTACATTTCTCTATAGGAAGATCCTATTCAAATATTTTTAGGTACATTCCATTTGTATCTCTGTTTAACCAAGAATACAGTACACAATACATCCTGAAAGCTCCCTCTTTAATAACTCATTGGATTCACGATATTTTAGCTCAGAATTTTTGTTTAAAGGGTGATAAAAATGTTTTTTTTTTTTAAAAGTACTCATTCTAAATCGTGGCACAAGTACCATAAACGAAACTTAAAGTTGGGGGGGGGGTGGAAGCACTTTGATTGTAAACTCTATATTATCTAGACTCAACAGGGGAAAAAAAAAAAAGAGAAGAAAAAGCTAGTGGTGGTATTTTGATTTACTAAATTGTTTTAATAGTTGCCATGCCTTTTTTTCCCGCTTTTGTTATTTAAGAAAAAAAATTTTATTCCTTTAATTCCTCCACAGCATGAAACAGAGGCAGCATTTGTGCATTCTTAGTTTATATCTTTCTAAGAGGGGCTCACTGATTAGGTGAAAGAATGTAAAAACAGAATCCTACCAAACAGAAGCATGGGTTCTTGTCCTAATTCTGCTACTTAAGAGCTCTGTGAGCTTGGACAAGACTGTTGAATATCCACCATCGATTTCCTCATTCATAGAATAGGGTAACTGTAGCTGTCTTCCTTTCCCCACTAAGTACTTGCAAGGACCAAGCAAAGGAATACACTGAGGATTTCAACACTGAGATGACCATAAGCTACTACTTGCTATGGTACAGCTTAATGGGATCATCAAAAAAAAAAAGATAAAAAAATTCTTCCCATCATTATTCACAGGAGCGAAGATGTGGAAGCAGCCCAAATGTCCACCAACAGATAAATGGATAAAGAAAATGTGGCTTATCTACATAAGGGAGTATTACTTGGCCTTAAAAAGAAGGCAGTCCTGCCACGTGCTACAACATGGATGAACCCTGAGGACTTCAGGCAGAGTTAAACAAACTAGTCCCAAAATAACAAATACCGTATGATTCCATTACACGAGGTTCCTTGAATGGTCACAATCATGCGAATGGAAACTAGGATGGTGGCTGCCAGGGGCTGGGTGTGGAGGGAGCAGGAAATGGAGAGATGTTCAACAGGTATACAATTTCAGTTTTGCAAGATGAAAAAGTCCTAGAGATGTTACGTAACAATGTGAACACAGTTACCACCACTGAACTGCACACTTCAAAATGATTAACAGGATAAAAAAAAAACAAACAACACTTCAGTGTGGTTAGTTGAAGGTAAATTGGAATTCAATGGGATTTAAGCAAAATTAAACCAAAATAATAGCCTTTGTTGGACCCTCGGTTAGCAACTGATCTAAATAAACTTAGAAGAATTACATCACTGGTTAGCCAAGGTTTTGTCCCCAAAGAGACAGCCACTTCCTGGTGGGGACATCTACCATCCCAGTTGCCCTCCTCCTGGTGCTCAGCCCTCCAGGACCCCAGCAGTAACTCCACCCTCTGCTCACCAGCCCTCCAGCATGTGGCTCCCACTGCTGTTAATCTATCACTTAGCACGTTGCTCTCCATCAGTGATGCACACGTCTGGCATCATCATTCATTAGACCATAAGCTTCTTGAGGGAGAAACCACATCTAACACTCCTTTGCTATCTCTTCTTCTGTCTCCTAGTTCCCTAGTACAATACCACCCATCAAACGTTTGCTAATTGAAGACATTCTCCTCTCAAAGCTTTCAGCATCTTTCCTTTAGCTGTTGGTGGGGGCCAAGACTCAAAGGCAGAGAGCGGTTGACTGTTTTAAGCTCTTAAAGGTCTTTGTGTGCTGCCTCATTCATGTCTATTGGAGAGAAAAAAGAGGGTAAGAATCATATATTTATAGCTGTGTTTATAACGAGACAACAAAGATGTTCAGTTACAGCTCTCTATGAAAAAGAAGGCTTGAGCAGCAACATTTATAATAATCCTTCCCCAATCCATTTATGGCTCTGAAACAGCCAGCAGTCTGTATTATGTTAGCAGTCCTTATAAGGGTTCTCACACAAGAGTGCAGTTCTAATGTGGGCAAATTTCAGACCCCTAGAACTTCCATTAATAAAAACCATAAATCCACTGTAAGAGAGGGCTGAGTTAGATAGAGTATCGGGTTCTCTTTGAAACATGTAACTCTTCCCCCTAAGAAACTTAAAGCTCACTCCTGGGTCGAGCGCCAAGATAAATATAACCGTCAAGAAACAGGGAACGATATGTAATTTTATTCCTAAAATACTCAGGAGTTACTCAGAAAAGAGCCTGTGAGAAGAGCAAGAGAGAGAGTTAACTCCAGAGGAGAGAAATGGGAACCTGCAGCAGTGAGATTAAGCAGCACAGAGCTGCCCTTTCTCTCAAGGGGCTCCAACTCTAGTGCAGGGGACAGGATGCCGCCTAGTCCCGGGGAGGGATGGGGGATGCAGTCTGATGGCCCGTGAGCTGCGGTGATGATCACATGACAGTGCAAATGCCACTCAAGTCGGCAGCCACTGGACAGTACAGATCTGTCACACAGCACTCACCACCCGGGTAGAAACAAGTAACTCAAACATGGTCATGACCACATATAATGGTGTCTGGAGACCTTGCACAACCAGGGAGGGAGTGAAAACAGTGGTTTCATTGCTTCTAATACAGACTCCCCGTTAGACATTGAACTTGAAGGCGGGAGCACCAAGTTCCAGCTGCCTGTGCCCATCCCAGTCCCCTGCCCGGGAACCCTGGGCTTGACACGTACCAGCTCGTGCAGTTATCGCTGGAACCAAGAGGGTCACGTGCAACTTATCAAAAGGTCACGCAGCCAGTCTACTGCAGAGATAGACTCCAAATCCAGGCTTCCCTGAGTTGAGCAGTTGTGACAGACACCAAATGACCCACAGCACCTAAAATATCTCCCACCTGAATTTATACAGGAAAAAAAAAATATCTGCTGTCCCCTGGATGAAGGCTTTGATCTTGGGAGGGTGAAATTAACATTGACTGAAATATGAAAATGCAGAGAAGAAAGGGTTTGAAGGAAAAATTGGGGAGCTCCATTTTAAATGGTAGAGCTGATAGAGATGCCCAAAAAGGGAAGATTTGAGATACCGACACTAGGGAGAGAGGTCAAGGGCAGAGGTGCAGACTTAAAGTGATACTGAGAATGGTGAGGAGGGTGAGATGGTAGAGGGAAAGATGGCAATGGCTTAAAACTCATTATGAAGGTGAACTCTACAGTCAAAGGAGAACTTACATGAAAGTCCCAATATTCCCCTACCCCTGCCCCCCCAAAAAAAAGAAAGAAAGAAAGAAAAGAAAAGAAAATGGAGAGAGCTGCTTTGGCTGAATCTGGGAAGATGCACCAGAACACAACCTCTGGGCAGCCCTCTGCCTCTACAGCAGCTCCTGAGGAATCCACTGGTTTGAAAACCAAAGGCACGCCTACAGAGATAAAAACCAGAAGGTCAAGGTTGGTGCATTTGGGTGGACGAACTTCCACACTTCAGTAGAGGGAAGCAGCGGATGAGACTGGCAGGGAAGGACCAGAAAGGCAGTAGAAATAGGCTTGTGTTGTAGCCAGTACCTGCGAGACTAAATTGACTTGGAAAAGATAAAACAAGGCAAGGCTGACAGAGATGTCTAGGGGATGCTTAAGAAGATGTCAATGAACTCTGAAAGTCACTAGAGACCAGATCAGTAAAGATACAGACCGAAGTCAGTTTCAAGGAAGGGAAGAAGACAGGATGGAAATGGAAAGACGGGAAGGGAGAGAAGACAGGGCTGTGTATTTCAAAAGTATGGAGACATTTCTTCTTCCAAAGAAGGAAGGGAGAACAAAGACAGATATGGCAGATCATCTGCAGAAAACAGCTGTAATAATCTCCACCCCGGAATCCATGCCCGTGGTGGTCATCCCTTCCCACATTGACTCCGGGTTTAGCCACGTGGCTTGCTTGGGCCACAGGGCATCAGCACACAGGACACAAGAAGAGACTTGAATATTGCCCTTTGGGACCCTCTTGATGTCCTTGTAACTAACTCTGAGAACAGCATGAGGAGGAGCCAACCAGCTAGCTGGGGGATGGGAGACCCCCGGAGGAGAAGGGAGATGCCCAGGCTGACAGCTGCCAACCTCCAGACACATGCAAGAGGTCTTCCCAGATCAACTGGTCACCAGCTCACCTGCCAGTCAGCCAGTGATGCATGGAAGAGCACTGTGACCTTAAGTCACTAAACTGAGAGAGATCTGTTCTGATGTAAAAGATAGTGTCGGAAATGATGCTCTATGCACTGCATGACCCTAACCGCTTGAGAGGACCTCAAAATGCTTTAGGGACATAAAGCTTTGCTTTCTCCTTTTCGATCTTTCCAACTGTCCATAATGAAGAGTAATCACTCACAAAGTGTTATCATGATTGTGTTATTACTACTATTGTCAACTAACATTTGAGAGGAGTGGAATTACATGTACCAGCGTCCGGACTATACCTACCCAGTCATGTTTATGACCCACACAGAAGCCTAAACCAGGTCCACGGGTCTTTCGCACGCTTTTTATTTCTTACAGGTAGGGAAAAAAATGCAACCTAATATGCACTTGAACAATCAACCAACTCCTGATGTCGGAAACTAGACATACTTTGCCAATTTTCTAGCTCTATTTGGAAGGTAATTGCTATGAGCAAAAGAGAGCTGACAGTTTTTCAACGCAAAGATGAAGAGCCAGCACTAAAATCAACAATGGGAAAATAATTTTCGCCTAAGATATTTTCTGAAGAACATCTCCCATAGTTTATGTTTTTGACGACGAGAGCTCTCTGCTGGATGTTGTCATTTTTTTATCAATTAAATGTGTTTTTTTTTTCCTGTGCACAGCCATCTAGTTTAATACCTACCACATGTTCTTTGGATTTTATCCAATAGTTTATCTTGAGGGTTTAAGGAAGTCTGTGATATAGACAGGTACACATTCTTCTCTCCTACCTCCCACATAATTTTCTCAATAAGATACCTTTAAAAAAATTTAACGTTTTTTTTCCACATAAAATTCATCTTTGGGTTGAAGATGAAGAAACACATTCTTGTTTATTCTTTCTTCTGAAAAGGCCAGGTAGGGAGATATTTCTAATTAGATAGAATTCTCTCAATGTCTAACGCATTTATGGACTAAGGCAATATGAGTAACACTTTCTCTTTTTTTATAGTATATTTATTGATAAATATGGGGGATAAAATATGGTCAACAGAACAAATGCTTCCTCCTGAAAGTTTTTCTCCTTTTTGAAAAAGTATAAACCCACAGATGAAAAAACAAAAAGTAAGATGGGGGCAGATAAAAATGTAGAACATAGAAAAAAGTAGGCAGTGGATTTAGAGTAGAGAGTGAGATCTCAAGTATCAAAAGGCTGGGGACTCCTTTGGGGACACTGATCAGACTGAAAAAAGGCCACCCCCCACCCTATAAAAGAGCAGCAGTCAAGAAGTGTGTCATCACATTTACAGCTTCTACTCAACTTTACAGCATCTTGCTCTTAATTATGAATGGGTAACTGAAAAATCAAACCTTGGAAGAAAGTCTCCAGATGTACAAATCAGATTGAAAAGTTTCAAAAACACAGACAGTACAGAAAACTTAAAATCTTGAGAGAGAGAAGAGAAAAATATTACAGCCATGGAAGAAAAATAAGAAGGTATGAAAGAGGAGAAGAGACGAAGGCTCTTGGGAATTTGAAATTTTCAAAAATAAAAAATGTCTATAGGTAGGTTAAAAGATAAGTGGAGAAAAACTCGGACAGTAGAACAAACAGACAGAGAGAAGAGGAAAAAAATGCAGAGAGAAGAAAATGCTCATTAGACATCTGACAAACTAGAGGACCAGAAAAAGAGGGAAAACAGGGGAAGAAATTATAAAAAATAAATAAATAGATAAACAAACAACACACTTTCCAGAGCTGAAATGACTGGCCCTTCACAAGGAGCATTTACATGAAAAGCCAGGGACGATAAATAGTAAGACTCACACCAAGGTCAAACTTTAGAATAACAAAGGAAGAACAGTTCTCAGAATATTAGAGAAAATTATGCAGGAATTGTGCTCAGAGACAGAATGACATTGACGTTCACCCCAGCAGGGCTGGACACTTAGAAAAAAAGCAACATAATGTCTTCAAAATTCTGAAGGCAGATAATTTTTGTACATGAATATTATACTCTGCCAAACTATTAATTAAATGTGAGCCTAGAATAAAGACATCTTCCAGTTGGCAAGATGGCAAAAAAGGAACCTTCCTCTGGAAGGTTCCAGGTTTTCTGGCTGCCAAGTCTTTCCTGATGTTGGCCATTACTCACATTACTTATTAGGTCTTCCTGCTCCACCCCCAACTTTCTACTTGATAAACTAAACTCGATCTGTTCATCCTGGAAGGTATAGGTTTAAGTCATCACCACCTCCAAGAAGGACTTTCTTCCTGCCAGCTGGGTGCAGTCTGTTGATCTGGAGACCCACAGACCTCGCCTCCCCTCACGTACTTCTAGTCTACCTCTGATTAGCGTAATTGAAGACCGTGCCTTTTCTCTCTAAACAAATTAATAGAAGCTTTCTGCAGCAACATATCTGCCTGTTTAATGTGGTGGTTCTGGCCCTGCAGTGCCTTCCCTCCAGGCCAACTGTGATGAATACACTTTCTTTAATATAGTAGACATTTACTGATAAGAGAACAATCAATGTAAAATTTAACATTATTCTAGTAATAATACTGCACCCACACTATTTCCTCTCTGCTCCAATTCCTTCTACATGCAGATTTCTCAACCCAGAGTCTCTGGATGTAGGGCAGAAAGGATCATTTCTAGGGCATGAAGGGGAAAAGAAAATATTCTTTCAATTAAAACAAGATGATCTTATGATCCAGCAACATCCATGAAAAATCTTGTATGTGAATGTTCCATAACAGCATTTTTAACAATAGTGAAAAAATGGAAACCCAAATGTCTACCAACTGATAAATCAAATATGATATCTACATACAGTGGAATATTACCTGACAAGGAAAAGGAATGAAGTCCTGATACATGTTAGAACATGGATGAACAGTGAACATGTCGTCAGTGAAAGTGGCCAGTCACAACAGACCTCCTATTCATTTGTATACAATAATCATCAGAATAGACAAATCTATGGAGATGGAAAGTTGAATAGGGTACACTTTAAATGAATGAATTCTAGCTCAATAAAGTTGTTATGTGAAAAAGATCAATGTGGGAATAAATTCAATTCCTATATTGTCTTTAAGGCAATATCAAAGAGCACCATCTTAAAGAGGGCAGGGTTGGCAAAGTATGGCAAAACTGAACAAGGTCAAAATGGGCAGCTGGGACCAGCAAACACCAAGTTAAAATGAAGGTCATGGCAGTTATGCGCCTCAAAATACACATATAATCTGTTCACTGTAGAGTTTACTACTTGAAGAGAAGCCATAACAGAGTGGTCATGAAAAATAGACTGGATTCTATGGGAAGCACGGAGGGCCTGGTTATATAACCTTTTGTAGGTCACTTAATTTCCAAAGGTATTTTCTCTAGTTTCCCTACTTGCCAATCACCTTATTTCACAGGAATATTCTTAAGGCAACTGATGGATAATATATTTCATATTGACAGAGGACCAGGATGTGAAACCACCACTGAGGTTTATTCTAGGTATTTGCACAGATTTAATGGCACGTGATCTGTAGGGTCGGTGAGTTAAAGCACTCATTTATCATGGCTTTCTGTTAGGATGTTAGAATAGTTGCAAAATAAATGTAGAAAAGTTTTGAGTCTTCCAAAATGGATGGAAAATGTGTTTTAAACTATCTTAAAAGTAACTAATGATTTTACTTATTTTTGAACTTTAGGGGTTCCTTTCGAAATAGGTCCCACAAGGGCATGATGATAGACTGGTGGAGGAAAGTAGATTAAATAGCCTCATGAATGACCCAGCTACTATCCTTCTTTTGTATTCCTTCTTCAAGGACATCAGAATAAACTAGACTTACCAAACGATGATTTTAACACAAAATAAACTGAAATTCTACTCTTTTTATCTTCTCTCAGAACATAGTCAAATTCTCCCTCGCCCTGTTGTTACTCATTTGAATACATCCACAAGGTTTAAGATACTGACCTAATTTTAAAGAAAAATAGATATAAATGAACTATTTTCCTTAAGCATAAGATATAGCCCTTCAATTAGTCTGCCTTTGTTTTAAATTCTCTTCATTTTCTTTCATCTTCTACTTCCCTTGTAATTAAACACTTTTTAGTCTGTATGACAAAGAACACGAATCTGGTTTGATTTGGGAACAATGTTATCATCTATACTGAGTTGAAAGATATTTAAAAGTTCTATGCCACTGTGTCACTGAATTCAGGACTTACAGTAGTCCAGGACAAAAATGCACCCATCAGATAACTAAATTGGGGTTTATGAAAAGCGAACCTACAAGACATTGGCTTGTACAATCAGGTGACAGGAACCTGCAAAACTGTTTAATTTTGGTATGTGAAAAATCACATGAATAAATGAGTGCAAATAAAACACTCTTACTTCTGGAATACAAACTGTTATTTCTTTTTTTTTCTTGACTTTTCTTTGCACCCTTGTGCAAAACATAGAATATAGAAGTCAGATTCTAAATTGCAATATATAGTAGCCATGCTGCAAATTTGGGGCAATTAACTTCACTAGTCATGCATTCATTATTTAATTTCAACTTCAAAATTTTCCTATTGTAGTAAGAACATTTAACAAGAAATTTATCCTTTTAATAATTTTTTAAGTGTACAGTAACAGGATTATTAACTACAGGCCCAATGTTGCACAGCAGATCTCTAGGATTTGGTTATCTTGCATAACTGAAACCTTCTAGCTGTTGAATAGCATCGCCCCCATTTTCTCCTTTTCCAGCCCCTGGCAACCCCCATTCTACTCTCTGCTCCTATGAGTTTGACTACTCTAGATACCTCATATCAGTGGAATTATAAAGTGTCCTCCCGTGACTGGTTTATTTCACTTGGCACATGTCCCCCAGTTTCATCCATATGGTCACATCATAAAGCTTTACGTGGTTAACTTCCATAGAGTAGATTAATGGATGGCAACTGGACCACACCTTGCTTTATCAGTTCCCTGCTTCTGCCATTTGTGAGCTATCTTGCAGCCAAGACGGTGTCTCACCTGGAGCTGACTTCCCTGCCCGCTGGGATGAGAACATTGTTTTGATGCATGGAAATGCTGCTTTTTTTTTTTTTTAAAGTCAAGGTCCCTTGGCAGCTCCTCTGCAAACCACTATGGCAGCTGTGCTAGAGGTCATGAATATTACATAAGGGCTGTCCATGCATTCAAACCAGAATCTCCAAGCCACGATTCCCATAGCAACACACAGAGATTTTACTCATCTCAGAGATGAAGCAGCCAGCAGAAGTATTCTAATGTTACCCTCGATTTTTTTTTTAGCAAAATCAACACAGCACTCTTTTTTCAAAGCAGTCATTTTTCGCAAAAGAAAACCGATGACTGAGTTAAAATACGTTCATTTAGAAGTTACCGAACATCACACAAATGAAGGCACCTTCAACTTGAACCACAATCTATGTTTTAGAAACAGCTGCTACTTGGATGACTACATGGGCAAAAGAATCCAAATCATTACAAGTGAAATGAAAGTCTCAGCTCAATTCTCTAGTTACATGTTTCATGTCTGATTTCCGGTCCCCCTTCCATATATATATGCACTTCATTATTATGGGATGGAGAAGAAAAGTGTTCCATGAGAAGGAACGTTTTTAATTAATAAAATCTTTTCTGGCTTTATTCTTGAAAAGCATAATGCAACCTAATTTTTTTTAAACTGTAAGAGAAATACTATTATAAAACACCAAGGGTGTAAAATTTGGGGGAAAAGATGGTTCAAGTCTAAGAATATAAACATTAGCTTGAAGAAAGTTTGTTTTCCTAAGCAGAGCAATGGTTTCCTGAAAAAGCTGAATTAAAATCATTTTGAGATTAGAAGCAATTTTTCTTCTTTGTATATTCAGGGATCATTTTTGCCTGTCTAAATAAACCATCCACCCACAGAAACAAGTTACTCGGGTTAGAAAACAACATAAAAGGCAAGACCACTCTTATCACACCGCCTTTTTCTACTGAGGGAAGAAAATATATTTCATTTCTTGCACCTCTTTCCAGCCAGACAGTGAGAAACGGTAAGAGAGGCAACACACAGGTGGGGAGGAACTTGGGCAGGTGACCCGTCGTGGACCCCGGCACCATCTGCCCAGAGCCGGGCAGGGGAAGGAACGGTTCTACCTTTGCTTTTTCCAACTGGGCCTGGGCCTGTCGCTCTGCCTCTCTGCGCACTGCCTCCCGATCTTCCTCCAGAGAAACATCTGAATCGGATGGACGGCTGGTGTAGGAGTCTGCCGAACCCTGGAGAGGAAAACGGACATTTTAAAAAGCGATCCCACCCAAGACGCGCGGCATTGGAAGAGGTGGCAATCAGCTTCCTAGACTGAGCTCTGTCTGCATTCCTGAAAAGAGGAGAACACAGTCCGCTCCGGGGGGCAAACCAGCCACACCAACCACACTTCGGTTTGCAGACCACTCCCTGGGAGAGCGCGCTGTCCTGGTTACGAGTCCTTCCAAGTTACCACTCCTTCCCCAATGTGAGGCTCCCACGACCGGCCTTTCTGGAAGCCAGAACAAGTTCTTGCATAATTAAGCGAGCCCCGTGGTGCAGTGTAGGAAGGACACTGCTGGGTTTCAAGGAGAGCTTGGAGAACAGCCTACACGCTAAGGCAGGAATTTACAATTCGAAAGAAGACAGTCTAATAAGAAAATAATAAAAGGCAAGTCTAACGCGTTATAAACGTGAACTCTCTGCAATGTCACGACCCTAGAGGGCTCCCACTTTCATCTTAAGCATCCTTTTGTACCTCTGTAGTCACCTGCTACCTCCTCTGACAAAACTGGAAGACCACAGCCGCCAGCTCCGCTCGTTAAGACGTTAAGCAACACGTCTTTCAATCCCTTTAAATAGGTATTTCACAAAAGCTGTCTACAGAAAAACACCTGCCCGGGGATCCCGCCGATGGCAATAAATCACAGCAAAGGAAAGGGAGCCCAGGAGATTTCAGGACTCTCTCCCGCTCCCTGCTCTGGCAATCGGGATCGTATTACTAATCGCACCAGCCCCAGACAGCCCTCACTGCAACAGCAGCCGAAACAACGACCAAACAACGTCTCTCGCAAAGGAGAGCCCGTGAGCTTACACAGATGTCCGAATTCTTCAGCCTTCCTCCCTTGGCGCGTTTCAGAAGCCTGATCCAGGTGGCCTTCATTAGCCAGACAGCGCCTTTCTCGTCCGCAGCTGCAGCCCCGGGCGCAGATCCTCAGTGCGCGCTGAGCCCTGCAGAAGCCCTTCTCGTTTCCTATCCATGCTCTGGGCAAACCCCTCTCCTCCGTCTCTGCCTCCGGGGCTTTCACTTCCTATCCCGGAGGACTCCAATCCAAGGAGATTCTTACTCTCCCATTCCAGTGGGGAGAGGAAACAAACACTCAATGCTTTCTATTGCTTTAAAAATAAAGAACACTTCAACTGCATTCAAACACAGGCATCAAACTCGTCCTAAACTTAATGCATCTTATTACCCTCTTTTCTGCCCTGCTCTTGGATTGGGAAAAGAAATTAGTTGTCAGAGAACCTTAAAAAAAAACCCAATAAAAAACAACCCCATCTAGTGCAAAATGTATGCACTGATATTTGCAAGTGCAAAGTTCAAGCCTTATCTTCAGAGATCTGGAGGGGGAGGGCGGAGGACGCTCTCCCCGCACTGGGCATGCTCCATATGTAGCCTTTTTACGCAGATGCTCACATCACACTGTTAGTCTATGTCAAATTGCCATTTTGCATCTAAAATGTAAACAGCTGGAAAGGGCTTTTTGGTTCTATAGAAACAGGCACATGGGGTATGTAGCATGTTTCTGTTTCAGATGAAACATTCTCTCCAAGATGAAACATGTAATCTCTCTCTTCCCTCCCCTTTTCTTTTTCATTTACTGATCTCTTTCCATTACTTTGTGGCAGGAAGTATATCTTATGTCGTAGGACAATTCCTAGCTAGTAAATATTATATACATTATTGGGCAACAGAAATTAAATAATGCTCATCAATCCTAGTATCAGACTGTTCGTGATTGCTTGTGATTTCCTAAACAAGATGCAAGAGAGAGATTCGACCATTTAATTAGGGTGTGAAAGTAATCAGAGCGCTAAGCAATGAGTTTCATGGAGCTCAAAATGACTTGGAACTGCTTCTCCAACTGAGAAACTACCCTTCCAGAGAAAGTCCCTGAAATAAACAGTGGGAATTCTTATCACCATAATTATAAAGAAATTTCAAAGCTTGGCTGATTTATTAGCTCGAGTTAAGATTCACAGGACAATTTAGCCCAAATGCCTTATAAATAAAGTGACTGAGGCTTGAGAAGGAAAGATACTCATTTCTGTTCTAATGGGATTACTTATTTTATTTAGGAAGAAATACACACTTCCAGGTTTCTCAGAGGAAAATAAAATTCTATCACTGCATTCCAAACTACATTTTTGTCTGAGTGTGGTGGTGGTGGGGATTATTTTGTAAAAGTCACACGCAAATGAAAGAAAGGCATTCTTAAGAAAATCTTCCTTCCTTTGCCTCCCTCCCTCCCTCTCTCCCTCGTTCCCTGTCTTCCTTCCTCCCTTCTCCTCTTCCTCTCATTTCTGGGCTAAGACCAGTCTTCATGACATAAATGCTAGAAAATATAGTAGAACAGAGGCTTGAGAATAAAAGTTGTAGATGGAGAGGGGAGGGTGTAGCTCAGTGGTAAAGCGCATGCTTAGCATGCTCCAGGTCCTGGGCTCAGTCCCTAGGATCTCCACTAAAAAATAAACAAATAAATAAACCTAATTATCTCCCCATCACAAAAAAGATAGAATGCACCCCCACTGTGGTATCATAATATAAATTAATAAGGAGATTGCTTATATTGTTATGAAGTGAATGTAAAATGCATGGGGGATAGAAAACACATTCCAAATTTCAGCAAAATTCACAAGGAAGAGATGAGTTTTTCTACGCCAACACACATGGTAGGGGATACCTAATCTTCCCAGAGGATTACCTGTAGCGGGACCAGCACGGTAGAAAATTACCAGGAAGCACAATTATATCCCATAAAGGACTTCCGGTCCCATCATCACAAGTGTTGACATTTAAAACCCAATCAAGTGGAGAGGGTATAGCTCAGTGGAAGAGCACGTGCTTAGCATGCATGAGGTCCTGGGTTCAACCCCCAGTACCTCCATTAAAAAATAAATACATAAACCTAGTTTACCCCCCACCAAAAAACAAAAACAAAAACAAAACAACAACAAAAACCAAAAAGGAAAATCACCCTGCCACAAGTTCAGGGCACACCTCAGTGAGGATACAAAGTTTCTGTCTTTAAGAACTTCATAACAAGAGCAAAAGCCAAACACAGGATCTCATTTCCTTTTGAACAAAATAAGATTTTTAAAAGTCCTTTCCTAATCATCAGGTGTAGCTTTTAATTACACAGTCATTTTGAAACCTGTTTCCAGGTTTAAATCATTAAACAGTTTTTAAAAACCCTCTACATTGAGTTTTGGCAATGCTCTTTTAAATATTTACAACAATACACTGACCTTCAACAATTTTACAATACATCAGTGACTACAAAGTAAAGTTTAGTGTAGCATACAGAAGGAGCCACATGACTTTATTCCTTGGATCTGTGACAGTACACACTTTCAAAATACTTTTCATTATAGAAGTTACGTGTACCCACTGTAGAAAGAGGGACAAACAGCCTTCACTTTAAACTCTCTCACCCAAAGATAGTCACTATTAAATAGTAGCATGGTTTAGCCTCCAGAGTTCTTGCATTTTTGAAAGTCACCCTCCCAACATGTGCTTTACAATTAATCTCCTTCCTCCCGGGAGTGTGGATTTATGCAGTTAGAAGTGATGTATCTAATTAAGCTTTTGCCTTTGGTACCATATGGACTTTCTGGGTCATTCTGCCTCAAGTAGTCTTCAGTCAGAACAGCTGGCAGTCATTTCCTTAAGTCCAGGAGAGGTTCATCACAAGATGTACTCTTGATCTCTCGGGTTCCTTCAATGTGATTAGCTGAACTTCTGTAGTATTTGTCCTGACAGGTACATCACATAATTCCTTTCCTACTCCTTCTTCACCAACCAGTTCCAAAACGCAACTTACCGAGCCTTGACCAACTTGAGAGGATAGAAGTTATTTCAAGTATCTTTTCTGACCACAGCAGCATGAAACTAGAAATCAACCACAGAAACAGAAATGGGGGGTGGGGGACTTTTACATGAAGACCAAACAACATGCTACTAAAAGACCAGTGGGTCAATGACGAAGTCAAAGAGGAAATTAGACACAAACTTATTTACAAAACAGAAACAGACTCACAGACATAGAAGACAAGCTTATGGTTACCAGGGGGGAAAGGAGGGGTGGAGGGATAAACTGGGAGTTTGGGATTTACAGATACAAATTACTATAAATAAAATAGACAAACAACAAAGTCCCACTGTACAGCACAGGGAATTAAATTCAATATCTTGTAATAGTCTCTAATGAAAAAGAAAACAAAACGGAATACATATGTATAACTGAATCACTATGCTGTACACCTGAAATGAACACATTGTAAACCAACTCTATTAAAAAATAAAAATAAAAAAGAGGAAGTTAAACAATACCTTGAGACAAATGACAATGAAAACACAACTATACAAAACCTCTAGGACGCAGTAAAAGCTGTCCCAAGAGGGAAGTTTGTAGCCACACAGGCCTTCTTCCAAATGCAATTTGCACCTAATGTCTCCTAATAACTCACCTGGGATCACTCACTTTTACCCTCAGGACTCTCATTCCAAACGTGTGTTCTTTGCTTATAGGACACTTTAGTTAATTGGATCAATTTATGCCTCTATCTACTCTTTAATTTCTGTCTTTTTCCAATTTCTGTCAAAGATTTACACACAAAGCATCACCTTTTTTCTTTAACACTTTTTCCTTTGTATTTATAAAATTTGCTTGTTTGATGCTGTATACTACTGTTATCAATCATTTATATTTCCAGAATCCTTTCTCTTGACTATTCTTGTATTTTTTTCTCTTAAAAGCCAAAAGGATAAGAGTCATAAGCTATTGAGAACTGGCATCTTGGACCCCAAATGGGTCACCAGTTTCTGTATGAAATCTTCACATGAAGCCTAAAGCAATGTTCTTGTGCAAAATCAATATCTCATAGTAACCCAAGGCTACCTTGATGCTAGGCAAATCTGTGCCCCATCCAGAATACTCAAGGCTTCAAATGTACAGGACTGAAAAATGGGACTCCCCATGTATAGAACTATGTTAAGTCAATGGCACACTGGACTTCAGTTGTTTCCTCCTCACCTTCACATTCCATGGGATAGATAGACACTTCATTGCCATGCTGGTCAGACCCACATATTTAGGAAAAGAAGTAAAATGGGAGACTTCTGAGGCCAAGGACCAAGAGGAAAGGGTTCTGTCTTGTACCATCTGCTCATATTGGCTGAGAAGGTGATTCTCTCATTTCACACACTGTCATCTCTTCTCACAGTTTAGAAGAATTAACTTCTTTTCCTGGGAAGACATCTGGATCTCTCTGAGAAAATTGATTGCTAACCCCTGCTTTGTTGGTTTCTTCAGAAACAAAATCATCACCTGTCTACTGATAATGAGCATTCCTGACTCAAAAAATTCAAAAATGACACGGGCCATTGAGATGAAGCCCATTTTTATTAATACAGTATACTTTGCTTTGCAAATGTCACAAAATTACTACTCAAATCCATCTGATCACGAAAATCTCAGATGTGACTGGCCTGCCATGTGGCTTAACTTGAAAATATTAACAGACTTGATAGTGATAAATCTATGCAAATTCATCCCTGTTGTAATTAAGTAGAAGCTAAAATATTAGCTTTAATTTTCTCAAGAGCACAGGAAAAGTTATAAACTTTGTGTGACTCTCCTATGCACTGATGAAGAGATTAAATTTTGCCAAAAACAAATCAAATCAAAATAAAACAAAACCAAAACACCAACCACATGCGTGTACTGAGTACTAACTACCTTGGAACCATTAGTGCCATAATTCTAAGTTAAATGCTGGGATCAGGAAGATACGATGACAATCTGAGATGATATTTAAGTTGAAATATCTCAAAAGGTAAAGAAAAAAACAAATTAGCCTTGGTGTGTGTTGAGAAGAGAGATGTACAGGAAGAGGGAACAGCATATGCTAAGGTCCTGAGGATAAGCAATGCTCAGAGATCAGTGTCACTCGTGGGCTACTTTTGCAGGAGTATTTATTTAAACCTTCTCCCTTTTCCCCTCTCTTTCACTCTGCAGGTAAATACACACTCAGGCACACCTGGAATATGGATTCTGGGGATCCTTTTCCTCACACCACAGAAAAACTCCTTATGGATGATTGATTTTCTTAATCAGAAGTGGCATTTAACATTTCTAACAAGTTCCCAGACGACGCTGATGTTGCTGTCCAAGGAGAACCACTGCTATAAGTGGTTAGGAGCTTAGCTCTGATGCTTAGCAGCTGTGTGACTTATCCAAGTTACTTAACCTCTCTGTCTCCCGTGTTTTTCATTAGTTAAAAATGGGACAGTAATAGTCCCCGCTTCATATAGTTGTTGTGAGAATAAAATGAGTTATTATATACAAAGTGTATGTAGACATGCTCACTAAATGTTAGTTCAATAAATGTTATCATAATCAAAAAAAAAGTGGCATTTAAGTTGTCCGTAAATTCTGCACTCAGGGGAATTGTGTCTTCTTAAGGTTTAAACAGAGTTCTCCGAGTTTTCTACCTTCTAAATCCAGGACAATCTCATAAAGGCTAAAGTCAGTATATTTTTGGGTTTGCTCCATATTACATTAATAATTTGAGCCATCAATTTATTAAGGTTAGACTATGAAGATGAGTGATAACAATAATTGCTAATTTTTAGTGAATGCTTGCGCTGCGCTAGGCTGGTTCACCAGCGATATATAATTTCATCACTCCATTTTCACTGATGAAAAGAACTGAGGCTATCGGGAAGTTAAGTTACCTGAGGGAGGTCACAAAACTAAAAATCGATGGAGGGCAGAGTCCGCTTTAAGCAGTCTGAATTTAAGTTCCACACCTGCATCAGCTCATAAAAATACAAGTCAGAACAAATCCCTGCATGCAACTGATGTGTCTATTAACAGAAAACATATCTTTTTCTGTCTGCCAGGCACACATAGAGCCATTTCTAAAGGTTGTAAAGAGTTGTGATGATTTCCAAGTTTTTAGCTCCATCTTTGCTGAAGTGAGCCCCTCACCCTTCTCCCTCTCTCTACCCCCTTTCTCTCTCTCTGTTACACACACACACAGATTCTCAAATTTTATCTCCCCCAGAGGCACAATGAAGGTACAATGAAACAGATAATTTCTCATTCATCAGTGTAATGCAGTTTTGTGAAAGGAAGAATTCAAAGAGTTGCCTGTTACCCTGGAATTTTCCTCCCTTCCCCATATCTCGAAATTGTAAAGTATTGTTTTCTTTTCTTTTCTTTTCTTTTCTTTTCTTTTCTTTTCTTTTCTTTTCTTTTCTTTTCTTTCCTTTCCTTTCCTTTCCTTTCTTTCTTTTCCTTTCCTTTCCTTTTCTTTCCTTTCCTTTCCTTTTCTTTTCTTTTCTTTTCATTTTGTAAAGCATTCTTTTCACTACTTATCTACAATGGAAAGCGGATAAGTAGAATAGGAAAACAATGAAGTCAAGAAATCAGCTATTTAAGTCTTCCTCTCTTCCCAGAAAATGAACATGGCTTTGGCAAGCTGGCCTTCAGTAGCCTCTTTGGCAACTAATCTTGCCTGAGGCTGGCTGGAATCCAGGCATCTTCTTTCAGCTCAGTAGAAACAGTTGCTAGTTTGCAGCACTGAAACTGAAGTTATTAAAAAGTATAAATCATTGGTCCAAGGCTCAGAGATGTGACCAATTTATATAATTTTAAGAATAATATATTTAGAGGGGGAGGGTGTAGCTCAGAGGTAGAGTGCTTGCCTAGCAAGCACGAAGTCCTGGTTTCAATCCCCAGTACCTCCATTAAAAACAAAAAAAACCCCCACCTAATTACCTCTGCCAACCACTCCTCCCCGCCAAAAATACACAGTGTGTATCAGTTATATCTC